CTTGAATTTGAAATTGTTGAAACTGCGGCAACCTCGCATGACGCAAGCTCGACACGCCGGCGCGACGAAGGAGCAGTGAGCAGTTACCAACCAGTGATGCGCGACTGTCTTGGCCGACGGTTGGGCTGTCAACGGAATTGTCGAAATACATCGAAAAAATAGCGAAAAAACAAAATACGTATTTAAAATTGTTGAGTGAAACATGTATTTTCTTAGATTGAAAGTAGTTCGTAAAGTGACGGTAAGAGACAATAATTCTCAACATTTATTCATTCAGAAAGGTAGTATTCAAAGGAATGTGTAATGTGTACTTTTCAAGGTGTTTTGTAAATCAGTGGTTCAAATTGTGATGAAGCCTATATGAAAATAATGTGTTAAGTTAAAAATGGGGACTGTTATTTTAGCAGTTTTTATAATAGCATGTACAAGTAAAGCAGCACAATGAAGTGTATTTTAATTAAGTGTGTATCGAAAAAGAGAACTGTCGCAGTTACATCGATCTGTCATAAGTATCTTTTTTAATGTTGGGTAAGTTTTTTAATTTAACTTTTTTAACTTTTAAACATTTAACTTTTAATTTATTTTATGTAATAATATCACAATCTTAAAAATGTAATGCATCTCTGCAAACTCCTCAGGTGTTGTGATTTTATGACTTACTTTTAAACATATACTTTCTTGTCCATATGGCAACACAGTGCGTCGAATTAACTGAAATCCGGGCTTGATCCGGGTAATTGGATGTAGTTGGCAATATCTGCCGGCGGTTCTCAAAATGTTGCGATTATTTTTTTAAATTTTCAAAGTTAAATAACTCGGTTATTTTCAATTTATTTTAAAAATGGTAAAGAGAAAATATGTTTATTTTGACCAGATCTACCACTCCTTAAAATATCTGCACTCATTTCTGGGACACCCTGTATAATTATCCCCATATTATCCCGCTGTTTCGGGATCTTTGTCGCAGAGTCTGCAGCAAAAACTTCCTTAATACAGGTTGAGCTTGTTCAGGTAATACTTTACAGCCACGTATCCTGTCAAGAGGCCTGTTATAATCCGCACTTTATTCCTGCTAAGCATTAGCATTCTTTTGCGGTTTTAGAGCTAGTTGGATAAGGCCTAGTTGTGCCTGTGCCCTTGTCTGCATAGTTTTAGTGCACTACGGGCCAAACTCTAGACCAAGATAGAATTCGGATGATCCTTGCCTCGCTACTGTGGCCCGGCACCCAGAATAATTTAATTTTGTTCCTTCGTACCAGAGCTCCCAGTTCACCTAGGTATTCCCAGACGATCTAGTTTCAATCTTAAACTTACGAATGGGCATCTATTTAAAAGGAAAAATCCATAGGAACAAGAACAAATAAAAGACATCTAGACATTTTCATTCGTTCTTTCGTAGATCTTTGTCATGCCAATGCATTTATTTCCTTTAACGCCAGAAAATTCGCAATTCTCTACAGTTTCCCAGGAATTGCACGTTTCCTTAACGACGAGATTTTTCCGTATAATCTCCGGAAAATCTCAGATAAAATCATTTTACAGGGAAGCTAACCCTAGAATTTAGTTACGGAGAAACAACGTAGGTATTATCCTAACGAGAGTCGTTATTTCTTTTAAGTAAATTTGAAATAAAACAATAAAAATACTCCTTTTATTTTTTATGGTGTGATTTGGTACTCTGTAGAGAGTTGATTAATAAATAAATCAATATAAAATACCGACGATGTTTTTTTTTTCTCTAAAATTAGTATTATATATTTAGAAATATTTATTAATAAGAAAATAAGCCTTACCTATAAAAAAGAAAAGTTTTAATACAAGAAGCCGAACTTTAAGTCTATCTGGGAGTTCCTTATGAAAATTATATTTTTGCATTTCATAATTAATTAAAACTCTTAAATTAATATTTTTTAGGTTTCCGTGCCTCGAAAGGAAAACAAGCATCTCTTATAGGATCACTTTGTGGTCTATCAAGACCCTTTATTTTGGGAACGAGTGGTAGCGAGTGTGGAAAAATCTAACTTCTAAATTAACACAAAAAAAAAGATACGGCCGTTTATGCCGGAAAAAAATCGCATATTTGGGCGTCCTAAAAATCAAAACGTGTTTCTATGGGAATATAATTTCGTTTCCGTTTTTTGACAGATTTTTATCACAAAACATGAAACACGGGTCATGAAATGGTGTAAAAATTGAGAAAATTTTATCCAATTAAACACAATGTATCGCGCTTTTTTTTTACTTTAATTCAATCGTTATTGTTTTCAAAATATATTATTAGATATTTTTATATCTTGTGAATGTATAATGATAAAATAAGCTCCGTAAAGACTGACAAATCATATATATATATATATATATATATATATATATATATATATATATTATATATATATATATATATATATATATATATATATATATATATATATATATATATATATATATATATATATATATATATATATATATATATATATATATATATATATATATATATATATATATATATATATATATATATATATATATATATATATATATATATATATATATATATATATATATATATATATATATATATATATATATATATATATATATATATATATATATATATATATATATATATATATATATATATATATATATATATATATATATATATATATATATATATATATATATATATATATATATATATATATATATATATATATATATATATATATATATATATATATATATATATATATATATATATATATATATATATATATATATATATATATATATATATATATATATATATATATATATATATATATATATATATATATATATATATATATATATATATATATATATATATATATATATATATATATATATATATATATATATATATATATATATATATATATATATATATATATATATATATATATATATATATATATATATATATATATATATATATATATATGTTCCCGTCATCCCTTCGTGGGACATAGGGCTTCTAAGAGATGTTTCCATCTGATCCTATTCTGAGCTGTCTGTTTGATCTCTCCCCATGTTTTCCCGACCTCTTGTGCTTCAGAGGTTACTGTTCTTCTCCAGGTATTCCTTGGTCTTCCCCTGGCACGTCTTCCCTGTGGATTCCATTCAAGTGCCTGTCTAGCGATATCTCTGTGGGGTCTGCGCAAAATGTGCCCAATCCAGCCCCACTTTCTATTCTTAATTTCGATATCTATTCGATTTTGTGATGTTCTTCTCTACAGTTTTTCGTTGTTAATTTGATTGGGCCAGAAAATTCTCAATATTCTTCGAAGACACTTGTTAACAAACACCTGTAGGCGATCCATGAGACCACGCGTAACCTTCCATGTTTCGCATCCATAAAGCGAAATAGATTTGACATTGCTATTGAAGAGCTGGACTTTAGTTTTTTTGCTAGATATAGAGGAGTTCCACACAGGTGTAAGCATGCCAAAAGCACGTTGTGCCTTCAAAATCCTTTCCTCTATATCTTTCTCTGTGCCCCCATCGCTGTGAACCATACTTCCCAGGTACTGAAATTCTCTTTCGATGGCTCGGTTGGAGAGGTATAGATCTTGGTTGTTGGGAGTATTTGACCTCATTTCTTTGGTTTTCGCCACGTTGATTTGAAGACAGACATTATTAGCTTCCTCTTGGAGTCTAAGAAGTTTTTGAGACATATCCGAATGTGAATGGGAAAAGATGTCCAAGATAATCCAGGTCTTCTAGCCTGCTTAAGAGTCCCCATTGTATCCCTGGATACAATGGACCGACTTTACTCTACATTCTTTAATTTTTGTTAAATTAACAAAAGATATATAAAGCCACCCCATAGATTTTTCAAATAATAAAGGTCTACTGGCGCAAAATCATAAAAATTAAAATACCTAGGAAATCTTTGTCTGAGGGGTAGGCAACTTTAATAATATGTTGAAGATATATAAATTCTGCATTGAATACCGGAATAATATACTGGGTGTTCCATTTAAAATAAACGAGTAACTTGCTTTTAAAAGTGACTAATGTTGCATATTAATTTTGTCTCACCCTGTATAACTTTTCAGATCAAATTTCAATTTGGTTTAACATACAATGGTTACTGTAATTAAATATAAGGCTATACAAGGTCAACTAAAATTTAGGTTTCTGTTATCGAAATTTAAAATTTACTCTTCATTCTCACAAAATGTGAAATATATCAAAATCCTTAGATTTTAGGTATATGCTTCTTTAATAAAACTCACCTTTTTCTTGAACCGAAAATCAATATAACCCTATATTATATATAGGGTGTTCCATAAGAAAAAAACACAACTTTGATGTGTAACTTTTTCTGGGGACACCCTGTATAATTCTATATATTTTTATAAAATGCTTTCAGTTAACCTACATATGCTGCCAAAATTTCATTTCGGGATACAATGGATAACATTATGCTCCTTCCTTAATCTTTTTATTCAAGGTCATTATTTTATTAGGTCATTTCCGATGAACCAAGAAGTGTAGTAGTACGTAAATCAATCCTGATTTATTCATATACTAACGTACTAACGGTCATAATGTTTTTTTCTTTTTTCACGAAATCTTGTTTTTCTATCTAAAAAAATAAAAATAGTTGTAGGGGTGAGCCACTTTTGAGAAACAACGGGTGGATATTTCCTAGATTCAATATCGTAACGTAGCAAAAACGTCTGACTTATCTTATTATTAAAAGAAAATATCTATTTAACAAATCTCCCTACATTGTCCTAATTTTGAAAACCTATACTTATTATTATAATACTGTATTTATCTAATTCCCAGAAAAAAAACTCAAATTTTTAAGTTTAAAACGAATTCAAAATATTTCAGCTTTATACAATTTGCACTTATAAGTATCATTGCGGAAAAACAATTTGTTGGTTAGTTAAAGAGTATTTGATTGTTAACATGTTTAACGGCTATTTTTTTTTCTTTTGCAGCTTGTACTGTGTCTGTGGGTGCCTGGACCCTTGTGGCAATTTCAGTGGAGCGGTATTACGCCATATGTCATCCTCTGCGTTCACTAACTTGGCAAACGCCCAGTCATGCCTACAAGACCATCCTGGCAATATGGATTGGTAGTATTATATGCATGATGCCGATAGCACTACTAAGTCAACTAAAACCGACTAAGCGAGGTAAGAAAAGTAGTGAAATGTTTTAAAACAACAACTAAATAATAATAAGCAGCATAGCTGTAAATATAATACACAGTTACGTGACAAATCCTGTAAAATAGAAACTCCTTTTGTACGTTGTAATGTTCAATAGGAATTTAAAATTATTTCGGAATTTACAAAACATTTTTTTAATCACCCTTGGGCAATTTAGTATAACAATCTAGTATAAAAACTTTGTTTTAGACCTAATTTGCTACCGTTAAAAAATACGAACACTAATCCGATGATGGTAATCTTGATTCTGTTGGTTCTGTTTAGCACATAACACTTTTCACTACATCAGTTTTAATGGTTTTATCTTTTTATTCATTTCTTCTTCTTGTTACTAAGCATACATACATCATTTACTTCTAAGTCCTTATTATATTGCCATTTCGAATGTACCACGTACTACAATACCTCGTAGTACCTTGTTTTGAAATCTTTGGATAATATTTTGCTTGCTTTGTTTGCCACAACCCCAGAGTTAAATACTATAAGTCCATATTGGTTTCAGGACTTATTTATAAACCAAAGCTTATATTATATTATTGACAGGTTTCAATGTCGCCCTACTAACCAGTACGTTCTTGTACTTTAATTTGGATTCTTCACATGTGATTTCCTGTTGAATTTAGTATCAAGTGCCATGCCAATATATATATAACTATATTTTTGTAAGAAACTCCTTGTTGATTCATATACCCTGCTGGCAAGCGAAACCTTGGGTCGGCGTTTACAGGTATAGGAGTGAATCGCTATGGCAATCTAGTAAATCTTTATTCAGTACATCTTATTTTGCTAAGTGTGTTGACCGTACTCTTCGTACACACGAAAATTGACACCCAAGGCCAGAAATACCAGCCCTAGTATAATATCTTCTACTCGATACGTCTATTAGTGAAATCGATATGCACTGATTGTTTTCATTCAACATAAGGCGCCGTTTTGATGTCCAGCGTTGTATTTTTGCAACAGCAGTCTCTAAATTTTCGGCTGACGTAGTATTGTTGTTTCCGGTCACTAGAATTGCAGCATCATCTGCAAATGTAACAGTAACAGTAATTTCATTGAATGTAGGCAGATCGCTGGTGCATCATAGATAAATGACCGGTCCTAATACACTTCTTTGCGGTATGCCTGCTTAAATTTTTCTCAGGTTAGAGTAGGTATCATCTTGCTTAATCCTGAAGTGGTGTTCGGATATGTGTAATCTTCAGATTTCTGAATATAAAAAAGGAAACAGTATTTTGAGTTTATGGTTCAAGTCTTCATGCCAAACTTTATCGAACGCTTGTGCGACATCTAGAAATATTACCAAACATACCTTCTTCTCTTCTAATGATTTCGCAATTACACTGGCGATTCTGAGGATCCGCTTGGTCAATCGTGGAATGTTAATTTCCAAAGCCAAATTGATGTTTGGGGATGATGAATTAATTTTTTCAATTGATTTTTGCTTTCTCAGTAATAGTTTTCGGACAATTGTCTTGATACTGTCGGCAGTAATGATATTGGTCGATCATGAGGTGGCTTTCCTGGCTTAAGGATCATTATTACTTCAGCCACTTTCCAAAGTTGTAGTATATATTTGAATCTAAACGAAGAATTGACTTGAGATTTTGATCAATGCTTTTCTTGGTAGCTCTTTTAAAATTTATACAGTGATAAGGTCATAATATGGTTCTTTTTTTGTTTTGTTCTTGTTTAATTTTAGCAGGAGTGACAAGCGGAAATGTTTTACTATTCTGTCCGCTAACGTAGGGAATGTAATATCTTCTTATGCTGTATTAGGTTGTAATACTTCTTCAAAGTGGTCAGCAAATTTTTCTGCTTTTTCTTCGTTGTTTCTGACCCACCCTCCATTCTCTTTTATATTAGAGGAGTTTGGATAATAGGTCTATTCAAAGAACAAATTAACAAAGAAATAAAAAGTAAAGCTTAATAAGATAAAAAAATACGCAAATGATAAAAAGGTTACAAATTACCTTAAAAATGTTTTTTTCTTTACAGGTAATCACAAATGTCGTGAGGACTGGTCATCGCTAGAATTCGAGAAAGCGTACAATATATTTCTGGATATCATACTGATGGTGTTACCTTTGGCTGTGCTGGCATTAACATATTCCTTGATTATTTGTACACTTTGGAAAGGAATAAAAACAGAGAGGGCTATCAAGAGTCAGGGTGAGTTATCTTAAAGTAAATATATATTATATTTATATTATATTATATATTTATATTATTTTATCTCAAGTTCATTTACTTGAAATGTAAATTTACTTATCAGGTTGAAAGTATTAAATTGATACGATAATTACGATAATAAATAAACGATAAAATGACTACGATAATTTTAAAATTCAAATAATTTTTGTTCTTACAAAAACTTACAAATTACCCCTATTTGTAACTCAAAAATATCTGGACCCAATTTTAATAATTTCTGATTTGCTGAATATCTTTTTCAAATTTTTAATTTTAAGAATAAAGCTCGATCTTCATGCATCCATTGTCCTACGATACGTTGATACGATATTAAATTTATTGGTAGAATTTAAAGACTTCGATTGGTTAGAAAATAACGCAGTTTTTAAATTTATTGCATTTTCATGCCTCCGTGTATCGGATATACGTTTTTGTTATTTTATATTTTGGTTTCCATAACGATTTTGCTATTTTACTTATATTTTTATTAAGGTTAGATGAAATTTGTCAAAAAAGTGTCAAAACGTCCGTTATCGTATGAACAGGTCCGTTGACGGACTGAAGTAAAATATTTACGGATGAAAAGTGGCGCGAAATCGCTATGACCAATCAGAGCACCGTCGGACCATCGTATCAACGTATAACGGATGCATGAAAATCAAGCTTAACTATTAAGAGTCCTTTTCACTAGTCCGAAAAAGTAACAAAGTAAGCTTTCGGCATTTAATGTTTTATGTAAAACTGACAAGGTATTTTGACCCAAATGAAGGGGGAAATTAAAGATAAAGGATTATACCATATCATATACTAAGGGCTGGCAAAGGTTAGCCTTGGGTCGAGATTTCCATATGTAAGAAGAGTATAATGCGTTTATAATGTACTGAACAAAGAGAGGACAGTAAACACGTTGCCAAACGTATGAAATAAACCGAGAAACTGTGCACATCGCTAGGAGACGGGGAAGGGGATATAGCAGATTTGTCGCAGTTGACCGGTCGATCCAATCAATACCTCTGTCAGTACTTAAAGTTCTAGAGAAAGGTGTACGTCATGCGTTCAGCTTCTCGATTTAATTACGTCTCGTGATACTTAATTGGTTCATTTATTAACAAGTCGTTGTAATTTTCCCTATAGCTTGAATTTTTTTAAGTACAAGCTAGATACACTTGCATTTTTGGTTAAAATAAGTGGAATTGAGTGGGTGTTCGATAGTGGTCGCGCTATTAGAACTCAAAAATCGATATCTCGAAATCTATTAGAAATAATAGATTGTAGTTTTCTTTTCTTTCTTTCTTTCTTTTCAAGAAGTTTGTTAATATTTCTGCTGTATTTTCTTTGTAGACATTATGTGAAAATCTTTATCAATAAAAAAATGACACGATTGCTGAAAATTGCTATCCTCTAAATATAAATGGATGAATTGTTTACAATTTTTGAATGGAAAAAACAACCTTATCGAATTTTTCTTATGTAAACATATTGTAAAATATCCGATCTTGAAAACAAAAAAAAGTTTCAATATCTAAAGTGGTTCTTGAGTTATGGCCTTGTGTTAAAAAGTTGAGTTTTTAAATTACCGCGATTACTGATGTTTTCTCGTTTTAAAAAAATGACACCCTAACGATATCCTTATAATTCCATTTCGGATGCTCAGAAACATGTCTGATTTTATCTAGCTATCTATTGAAAAAAAGTCTTTTAAAAATAAGCGGTTTGCGATCGTGATTTTACTTTACTTGATAGGGAAAGGCGTATCAGCAACGCCGCAACAGCACACCGTCGCGCGTCGCGTCGATCCCTATGCGATTTACTTCCACACATGTAAATGCCGACCCAAAAGTAACAGTTGCCAGCACGGTATATGTATTATAGCATACACACACACATTTTTAGACAGCTTCTTTATTTTTAGGATTTTCATGGTCAAATAATAAAAAAATACTAACAAAATATTCCTTATATTTGGACTAAATTTTCTCGAAAATAAAGATATAATTCAATATTCCGTCGCAATACGGGAATAGATTGAAGTAAAAATAAAACAAACCATTTTATTAATAATAACACTTACCAAATTTTATTATTATATATTTACCAGGTTTATTAATTATCGTTAATCTTAATTCTTTTAAACCTGGATCTTTTGACATTATTTTTTTGCAGTACTAAAATCAATTATTTAGCTATCGTGTGATGTCGATAGTTTACAGCTACTCTAGTTTTTAGTATATGTTTAGTACGATGCTTGTACCATATACGAGATGTACTTATATTTATTGGTGTATAAGACTTTCTGCCGGGGCAGCGAGTATTAACTATAATCTGTGCTCTGGTTCTACAGTTAATTTTCCCTCGATTTTTCCTCCACTTGACTTCAATAGACACAAAACACACCTAATAACACGAATCAAAATGCATCATTTCCCAAAAACGCAGGGTATTTGACATAAGTTGACAAAGAATTATAACCTAAAATTTGGTAAGACTGACAAGCCTCAAAAATCTAAAGGCGAGTTCATACGCATCGGCGTCCGTTTGTCGTTCATCGTTCCGTCAAACCAATAAAATTGAAATATGATCTGTCATTTTTGAAATAAACCAATAAAACTGGTTAAAACAACACGAGAGGACGCATGACCGATTTATATTTGAACCCATCCATAGTTAACTTAAAATATTAGAAATTTATTTTTGGTAAAATAAGTAGATTGGTATGGGACGTCATCTGCTTTTCTTCTGTCATCGTCTGTCGAAATCTTACCTGAGAAAAAATAATACGTATGTTAAAAGGAAAAAATGTATTGTTTTACCTTTTTTATGAAAATAACTATAGAATATATTATATTTAATAGAAAACAAATTTCTTGCAGTATAGGTATACAATAAAATTATATAAGTATTCTTGCCACTTAACTGCTGATATAGAAATTTAATTCTACGCTGTGTTTGTCATAATGTGGATCAACCTGCTCTCACTACCGGTTTCGGAGCCCTACTCCATCATCAGGTGAGCTTGGGCAGATCCACAAAATGACAACCACAGCGCAGAGATAGTTAATTCCGACATGTCGGAAAGTGTCGGTTAGATATTTATATTTACATTTATATTTACATTATGACAAACACAGGGTAGAATTAAATTTCTATATCAGCAGTTAAGTGGCAAGAATGCTTATATAATTTTATTATATACCTATACTTCAAGAAATTGGTTTTCTATTTTATAATTTGGCTTGCCTGAAAAAAAGCCTTTTACCATCCTTTTACTATTGATAGTGCACCTCGGTGGTACGAAAGTACTACCATTGCACGCAGGCCGCTATCTCCCGTTCGGGACTTAATACCTAACCGACACTTTCCGATAAGTCGGAATTAACTATCGCTGCACTGTGGTTGTCATTTTGTGGTTCTGCCCAAGCTCACCTGATGATGGAGTAGCGCTCCGAAACCGGTAGTGAGAGCAGGTTGATCCACATTATGACAAACACAGCGTAGAATTAAATTTCTATATCAGCAGTTAAGTGGCAAGAATACTTATATAATTTTATTATATTTAATGAGAGAGCTCATGACAATATATTTTGCTATCAAATGAAAAAAAGTCAGTGACCCCCCTTTTTTTCGAAGTCCCTGATGAATCAGGGACGTAACTTTTACTCTCAAAGTTTCGTTCGAATCACTTGGAAGAAAATTATAATAAACCGAAAAAAAAATGTCTTTAACCTCTTGTCGCTACGAAACAGATCTCGAAGCCGAATCGGATCTATATTGATATGGAATATAATTCTTATTTTTACGTGAGGAATCCCCCAACTAGAGAGGGCAAATGTTTTTTGAAGCACCCTATATCTGATTTGAACTGAGTCTCATAACGAATAGCGGCAGTATTTTAACGCACCGTCTGTAATGTTACTTTACATTAATACTAAACTATTCGTCTAAACAAACTATGCCCGTTATTTTACGGTAATATTTTGTAGGAAACCCAAGCTCTAGACGCTATTTAATTTAAATCCATACCCGGTTGTAGCTTTAATATTACTTACATAAATTAATAAAACGTTTTATGTTTGTTACAGCCCGGCGTATGTCGTCTAAGTTTTTGTTTTCTAAGATCGTATATAACACACTGTTCTCACAGGTCCTTTTAAGATGAAACAAAATGAATTTCCATGCAAACAGCTGCGAAAGAACTTAAATCCTTTACATGCTCCTGGCATTTGCATAAGAAATAGCGCAAAGCAAACGTTCAGAAATTACATTTCTTGCTTTTTCCATCGAAAGGTACGGGACTTTAATCTTTGCAAATTATATTCCGAATTTAAATCAGGTTTTATTTCATTTGTCAAAAAAATTAAGTGAAAATTGCTCTATTCTGTAAAATACAATTTATTGCATCTCTTTTGGCATACAAGGCAATCAAGAATGATTCACTCGCTTGTAAGCAATAAATTTAAAGGTGCGTATTCATTATCCGCACGAACGAACGAACGAACGAACGAATGTTTGCTAGTGATATGGACGGGGACCGCACGATAGGACCGCACGAGAAGACCGCACGCATTTCTTCATTCGCGCGCCAGTTCAAATCGTCAAGATATTGTTATAAACCTGTTTTTTTTTGTTTATATACCGTCATTGAATTATCGCTAAGCAATTTACTATGGAGCAGTGCATAAGGAGTCGGGCTAGGAAGCGAGAGACCGGAGTTCGAATCTCGGCCGGAACATCACTTTTTTTTTTTTAAATACTGTTGTATTCTATAGTTTATTTTTGTAGTATAAGAAAAAGAACTATTTATTCTGTTATTTTTTAATCTCCGTTATTAATATAAATTGATTGTTAGTACAATACCTCATTTAATATAAAATAATATTCTACTTTTTGAAATGTATCGGGCCCTAATTGTACCTAAAAGTAATATATTTTTAGTGATATACCATATTGTAAACTATTTAATATTTCAGTCGCTTTAAAAG